CAGAATCGCTGAGAATGCATATTTAGACATCATTTTGTAACAAAAATTTAAAAAATTATAAAAGCCCCCCCCACCCACCAACCAACCTCTAGCAACTCACGCCAGCGGCGTGCGGTTATATTTCGTATTATTTTGCCAGAAAATGATGCTGAAAATACCCACAGAGTGCGTTTTAGAGCGTCTAGTTTTCAAAGAATTTCGGGGGAGGACCCCCAACCCCCTTCTTTACCAATAGTCCCCACCACTAATTTTTGGCGATCTGCGCCCCTGGTCCTGTGGCTAGATTTGTGAACTGACCGGACGACTGGGGTATTGTGGGCGTTTGATTCATTGAATGGCAAACTATCTTCCTAAACGATGCACTGTATACATTTTTGTGGACTTGATGGACGACTGAGGTATTGTGGCCGTATCATTCGTTGACTGGCAAATTGTAATTATCGGTGCCTTTATTACTACTATATGTAACATTAAATATGCTGTATAAGCTGCACGGTTGCTAGATTTGTAGACTGATCGGGCGACTGGGATATTGCGGGTGTATGATTCGTTGAATGGCAAACTATCGTTATCGATGGGGTATTTTTTTATGCTTTTTTCGTTGAATGACAACCATTATTCAATGGGTTGTACCGTTGTCAGTTTTCATGACTTGAAGGGCGACTGATGAATTGTGGCCGTATCGTATCGTGGCAACTTGTGATTCGCCTGTAAATAGGTTGTATAAACATTACCGTAGCCAGATTTGCTTGAGGGGCAAGGTTGGCATAAGGCATTTACTTTCCTGGTTTATAATTTCCTGGTATTCTATTTATAAACACGCTAGTGCCAGCTGTAATGGATAGAAGTTATAATTACTGCCATATACCAATGTCGGTATGACCGACTGGCGACCTCGAATTCGTAATAAAGTTTATCGTGTGAACTTGGTTTCAAGTCAATCTTGGCCTTCAATTGACCTGAAGTGTAAACGCCTGCTGGGTTACACATTATTCTAAATGGTCTCGCATGTGTGCGTCTGTGTATTGCAATGCTAAACGCGGTGAAATTAACAAGTTTGATGTTAGCTGGTGCCAATATATTTGCCGGAACGAAATGAAATGAAATGAGGATTAAGCTCTTACTTTTTTCTACACCAACCGGGAAAATGAAGACGGTGAACATGTCTATTTATAGCACTTCTCTCTTTCTCCCTTTTCTCCCCTTTTGCATGGCATTTGTTGATTTTCTGTCAGATTTGATGACCACGTATACAGGATACAGAGTTACGAAGTTGGGTGCGGCTCATCGTTACTTATCTACATTATCCTACTTCAAGTCATACTAAACCTTGGCTGTCTGTCTATGTTACAGTTAGCTCCATTTGAGAAAAAAACCAAGCTAGTTGACCGACATTTTAATTCCTAAATCGACGATTTTAGTGCAAGACATTAAGTATATTTGGAGACGTTTGAAAAGTATTTATTCCGCTTCAATTTAATTAAATTGAAAATGGGTATGACGGGTATGAAACGGACTAACCCGCATTACAAAATAGTATACTTATTTTTATACGCCCACATTTAAATGTGGTCGTATATTGTCGTCGCCCCCGTCCGTCCGTCCGTCCGCCCGTCCGGCGTTCACAATTGCTTGTGGACGCTCTAGAGGCTAAAGTTAATATCCGATTGACTTTAAATTTATACACAGTGTTTAAGGTCTTGAGACGAGGAGGCCTAGTGATTTTCAACGATTTCCGATAATTACTGCCAGAGTTATGGCCCTTGATCACTACAAAAAATCTTGTGGACGCTCTAGAGGCCAAAGTTAATATCCGATTGATCTTAAATTTATACACAGTGTTTAAGGTCATGAGACGAAGAAGCCTATTGCTTTTTAGCGATTTCCGATAATTACTGCCAGAGTTATGGCCCTTGATCACTTCAAAAAATCTTGTGTACGCTCTAGAGGCCAAAGTTAATATCCGATTGATCTTAAATTTATACACAGTGTTTAAGGTCAGGAGTCGAAGTAGCCTATTGATTTTCAGCGATAATATCCGATTGGCTTTAAATTCATACACAGTGTTTAAGGTCATGAGATGAAGAAGCCTTTTGATTTTAAGCGATTTCCGGTAATTACTGCTAGAGTTATGGCCCTTGATCACTTTGAAAAATCTTGTGGACGCTCAAGATTGACTTTAAATTTATAATCAGATTTTAGTTTATTATAAATGTTTCATTAACGAAAATTAAAAATATGTGACAACTCTTGTTGACTGCCCGGACGATTTAGCTGCTGTGGGCGTATGTTTCGTTGCCTGGCAACCTATCTTTGGATATGGCGGCCTTTCGGGGCAGAGATCTATTTGTGTTCAGACCGTGGAGTCCGTAAAAAGTATAAAATAGCGAAACGAAATACAAATCTATATTTTAATCAGATTGGGAAAAAAACGTGTGAATAAACCATTATAGGTTTCCGACTTCCGTACAATCTGATTAAAACACAGATCCAATTTCGTTTCGTTTTAATAGTTCAAAATTTCCATTTTATTTGTCTTTACTACACTTGGACCTGGAAGTGTTGTTATTTAACTCGTGTTCTGCTTGAAATGATGGGTCAGCCAATCAAATGGTCTGTCGAATCGAGCGTTTGACCTTTTTTGCGCGGAACTGTGGGTAGACATTAGCGGCAATAGAGATCAAAACAAAGCAAAAGTAGATAAAAAATACATGGCGTTCGCTAATTGGTTAATCGAATGACTAACGTAATCTGGTCAAATGTCGCTTGCTTGGTACCTGACGTCATAGAACGTGAACTCCCACTATAACTTGTTAGATCTACATGTAGTGTAGGCCATCGAAAGTATAAAAAACGAAACGAAATATAGATCTATATTTTAATTAGATTGGACTTCCGTACTAAATAAATAAATGGAATGAAATCTGGTTTAACGTCCTACTGTTCGACTCCGACCGGGCTAATGAAGACGGGCATACGTCATACAATGTGCTATGAGGGAAATTTCCCTCGGACAGCGGCACTATGGTCTACTCATATCTAATTCCAACTGCCACCGATTCTTTTACGTGCACGCCAATGTATACAAGGGACCTCGGTTTTTCGCCTCATCCAAACTACTAGCACTACTGAGAAAGCGGAAACTACGTCGGAAAATCCCGATGAATTGCTCGGCCAACGCAGGGATCGAACACCCGACCTCCAGGCTTGCGAGTCAGTGTCCTATTCAGTTAACCATCGTGGCTCCATAAATAATTGAATAGGTGACGAAATAACAAAACAACAAACCGTTTCAACGATATGAAATGAGATATGCTTACAGAAATGAAATTAAAATGAAATGGGGGTTAAGTCCTTACTGTTCTACTACGAATGGACTAATGAAGATGGGCACATGACATACATTATGAGGGAAATTTTTTTCCGAACAGGGGCACTAAGGCCATCTCATATATATAATTCCAACTGCCAAGGAACATTTTACGTGTACGCCAAAATGTAGGCTACACGGGGCTCATGCATTGTCCCTTGTCCTCAGTGCTACACCACTGACAAGGGGAACCACGCTGGGCAATCCGGATGAACTTTCTTGGCCAATGCAGGGATTGAACACGGGATCTAAGACTAGCCAGTCAACGTATTATTCACTGAACCACCGTGGTTCCGCTTGTATAACATATTACATATACAAATATATATTGATAAAATTGGGTGGTAAAAGACCTATATATTTTTTGCGTGCATCAGAATGTAAGTAGGAAATGATCAGTATCTTCGAAGATATGATCATGATCGCACTCGAAATATCAGTTATCAAATGTTCTAATTATGCAATATGGTGTCTTTCGGTTGGTAGAAAACAATATATATGTATCCTGCATGCATCGGAATGGAAGGGGAAATGTAAAAGAAACTGTTCGGTATCATCAAAGAAATGGCCATTTAGATGACTGCACTTTGTTTATTATTATTTTACCATATTTAGAATACAGCATGTAGTTGACATTAATTATTCTATGTTATGATCTCTTTAATTTGGTTTGTTACACTGTCAAAATACTGCACTTTATTCTAATATGGCAGATTTATGTCTTCATTGTGTGTCGATATATATAAATTTATACCAGTGATGGGATTTAGCCTGTATATTCCGGACATGTCCGACGCTATTTTCAAAACGTCCGAAAATGTCCGACCAGGAATATGCCCAATCGGACATCAAGTTTTGGTGAATTATATTCAAAATTCCAAAATAAATATAGTGCATCGAGTGTATAACTACCAGTCAACCCGATTATCGATGATAATAGGCTGAATTGATTAGGTAATTAAGTGATCAATGTATACATTTTATACCATTTTGACTCAACTCGGGAGCCACATTGGTTCGGAAGCCCGGGGGTCCCATGTTCAATCCTGGTGTTGGACGAGAAAGTCCATCCGGAGCCTTGACAGTGAGCAGGGGGCCTGGCAAAAGACTATCAATACACGTACAAGAGTGGATGATATAGACAAAAGGTGTGCTCAAATGTCAGTTCGGAACGTCCCGAAATACTATCTATTGACACAGAGTTCGGCCTTGTCACAGTTCTGTCAGTCTTGATACCGGAGGTGGTGTGAGGAGAACCGTGGCGTAATAAAACACAACAAATATGTTACAGCTGTCATTGTTCTTGAGTTGTAGCCCGAAAAAACGCTTTGTGCTAGTACTTGAGATAGAAAGAATTCAATTCCAGAACGCCAAACCTAGTAGCCTATTATATTTGTCAAGTTTCATACCTGATGAATTATCACACATTAAACTCTTTCTCTCTCTCTCTCTCTCTCTCTCTCTCGCTTTGAAGCTAGGCTAGTGTGAAATGGAGTTTAACCTTCTTCTTTCTCTCTTCGCCAGTAATTAAATGGTAGTATATGCCGAAGCGATTCCGGTTCCTTCATTTTTGCAAAAATAGTTGTCCATTATATTTCGCGCCATTATAATCTACTATCTCTACTTTCAGGTGTTGTTGCTATGGTAGCAGCAGACTGTGACGTACAAAAATGTATCGGCAATATGGCGAGTCAAGATATGAAAGATAAAGAGAGTCTTTGCCCGTAAGTAACCTTACACGCCCATAATTGTTGCGGACTTTATTGTCGTCACCCCTGTCTGTCTTGTAAACGCCCTATAATTTCAACAAAATGGCGAATTGTCGATACGCAAAATGGCAGAGAATCGTGAGGATTGTGATCACATCCTGCAATATCTCCTAATTATGACTAAGTTTCTCCTGATTATGACTAATAGTATCTCCCAATTAGCACTAAGTATTTCTAATTATGACTTGGTATCTCTTAATTATGACTTAGTTAGAACTTAATATTTCCTAATTATGACTTGGTATTTCCTAATTATGACTTAGTATCTTCTAATTATGACTTGATATCACCTAATTATGACTTAGTAACTATCTATATTATTATTTCCTAATTATGACTTAGTATCTCCCAATTAGAACTTAGCATTTCCTAATTATGACTTGGTATTTCCTAATTAGAACTAAGTCTTTCCTAATTATGATTTGGTTTCTTCTAATTTCGACTGAATTTAGTATCCTAATTATTACTGACTATCTCCCAATTCGAAATTGATACCATCTAACCATGACTTAGTATCCCCTTAATTTTGATTTGGTATATGGTTATTTTGACTGAAGTTAGTATCTCCTAATTATGACTTAGTATTTACCTATATTAGTATCTCCTAATTATGAATTAGTATCTCCTAATATCTCATAATTAAGACTTAGTATCTATCTATATTAATATCTCCTAATTTTGATTTGGTGTCTCCTAATTTTGACTGAAGTTAGTTCTCCTAATTAAGACTTAGTATATTAATATCTCCTAATTTTGATTTGTATCTCCTAATTTTGACTGAAGTTAGTATCTCCTATATTGGTATCGCCTAATTTTGATTGGTATCGCCTAATTTTGATTTGTATCTCCTAATATTGACTGATGTTAGTGTCTCCTAATATCTCATAATTAAGACTTAATATCTACCTATATTAATATCTCCTAATTTAGATTTGCTAAATACCTATATCAATATCTCCTCATGATGACTTATAACTTGGTATCTCCTAATTATGAATGAGTATCTCCTAATTATGAATGAGTATCTCCTAATTATGAATGAGTATCTCCTAGTTATGAATTAGTATCTCCTAATTATGAATGAGTATCTCCCAAATAAGGAATTAACATCACCAAGATTTGATTTTTAAAAATTTATTTTTCCCTAATAAATTTCTTCAGCTATGAGGTTAAAAAAAAATTTTGAAGACTTAAGCGGAATCTGATTTTTTTACTAATTTGAATTTTCTCTTCGGATTTAAAACAATCGTTTATATTTCATATTGTTGGGGAAGGGGGTCCCTGTGGTACTAGCACGATACGAAGACTAAGGTCTTTTCTCTAAATTATAGTGTAGGCGGAAGTCAAAGAGGTTCGTGTCGTCTCACAGGGATATTTGGAAACAAAAAAACAAACGAAACCATGATATTTTAATGTTGCTATTTAAAAACAATATATTTTAATAATAATGATTTCTAGGACAGTATTTATTTTAAACTAACAGTATACCCCCGAAAGACAAGGTTCAATGTGGGCGTTTGTTTCGTTGCCTGGTTACATATATTAACCAATATAACGATGCATTATGTAAGATTTTGAGAAAAAGCTTACCATTCTTGATATAATAGTTCAAATAAAGATAATAAAATATATTGACAATTACTTTTTTCTGAAGGAAGTTATGGATATTTGAAGTTTTGACACGAAATAGCGTAAATAGTCCCGATTTTCAAGAGCGATTGTCAATTAAATTTTCTACGAAAATGAACGAGGTCGCGATTAACGAAGATATGGTAGACTTTGTCTTATCCCCTTAATATGTCAGCCAAATTATGGTCTAGAGAATTGATTATGTGAATAAATGTCTAAATAACAATTTATATAACATTTGAAGCCAGGAAAAAGACCTGCAATAGACAAATTTAACTCGTACATAATGCAGCTTAAAATAAATGAAATGAAATGAAATGGTGTTTGAACGTGCTACTGTTTTGCTCCGACTGGGCTAATGAAATGAAAATTAAATGGGGTTTAACGTCCTACTGTTCTGCTCCTATGCTGCGCTAATGAAGACGGGCATACGCCATACAGTGTGCTATGATGGAAATTTTGCCCGGAAAGCGGCACTATCGCCTACTATTATATCGAATTCCAACTGCCAAGGGACCTTTTACGTGCATTCCAATGTATGCACGGGACTTCGGTTTTCCGTCTCATCCGAAGGACTAGACAGCTGTCCTTGTCAGGCCCTCCGTCCTGCATCACTGACAAGGGGGAACCACGCCGGAAAATCTGGATGAACTTTCTCGGCCAATGCAGGGATTGAACACCCGGACCTCCAGGCTAGCGAGCCAGCGTCTTACCCACTTAGCCACGTGATCCCCGAAATGCTACTGTTTTGCTCCGACTGGGCTAATGAAGACGAGCATATGCCATACAAGTTCAGAGAAAGTATCATTATCTATTAATTTGAATATAATAATAATTATTATTAAAACATGGCAATATTAAATTATTGCAAGAACATGTCTATATTTTTTTTTTTTAGAACATGGCAATAATTATTGCAAAAACATGACAATAATTACTTTTTATACGCCCACGTTGAAATGTGGTCGTATATTGTCGTCGCCCCCGTCCGTCCGTCCGTCCGTCCGTCCGTCGTCCACAATTGCTTGTGGACGCTCTAGAGGCTAAAGTTAATATCCGATTGACTTTAAATTTATATACAGTGTTAAAGGCCATGAGACGAAGAAGCCTATTGATTTTCAGCTATTTCCGATAATTACTGCCAGAGTTATGGCCCTTGACCACTTCAAAAAATCTTGTGGACGCTCTAGAGGCCAAAGTTAATATCCGATTGACTGCAGATTGATACACAGAGTTTAAGATCTTGAAACGAACAAGTATATTGATTTTCAATGAATTTTTATGACTTGGAACAGCTAAATTCATGATACAGTATTAAAAGTTTTGTATACAAAACGTTAGCATGGGACAGAACTTTATAAAAACCAAACAAATTCTAATGGTTTTCTGAGTAGTTGCTCTTAATCAGATTTTAGTGTATTATAAATGTATAAATTAGTTACTTCGCGTATTGATTCTTTTAATTCTGTCCTGTACGGTGCAAATGACAAAATGAAATGAAGTTCACATTCATCGATTTATTCCAAATGATCGTTAGACTAAGTAAGGCACAGACTGACCATTATAAGGGTAAAATGATACCCGGGGACAAACAGCAAAGTTACCACAGCATCACAACCAAGTCAGTAACGGGTAAATCCTCCTCTGTTTGCCAAACAAGCATTGATCCGACGTGGCATACTCCTAATGAGACGTCTAAGGTCATTTTGGTCCAGATTGTCCCATTCCTGTTGCAACGCAGCAGCAAGTTCTTGGACATTGGCAGAACGTTGTTGACGTTGACGTAACCTCTGTCCAAGCATGTCCCAGACATGCTCGATGGGGGAGAGGTCGGGACTCAGTGCTGGCCAAGGTAATGTGGTGATGTTCTGTTGTTGGAGGTAACCTGTAACGATCCTGGCCCTGTGACATCTTGCGTTGTCATCCTGGAAAATGAAACGGCGGCCATGACGTCGTGCGAACGGCACAACATGGACTGCCAAGATGTTGTCCCGGTAGTACTGGCCTGTAACACGCCCTGCAACAACATGTAAAGCCGTTCTTCCAGCAACAGTGATGCCACCCCACACCATAACAGAACCACCCCCAAATCGATCATGTCTAATGACGTTAACGTCTTGGAAGCGCTCGTTTCGACGACGCCACACCCTCCTACGTCTGTCCAAAAAATCAACAGTGAACCTTGACTCATCTGAAAACATCACATTGCTCCAGCGTCGATTATCCCAGTGTTGACGATCCCTACACCAACGACGTCTTGCCTGAATGTGATGATCTCTCAAACAAGGGATCACGCGAGGACGTCGGGCGCGAAGGTGACCCCTATGCAGTCGATTCCGAATCGTCTGGCCACTCACTCTCACACCAGTGTCTGTTTGAAGACGAGCGCTGATCTGATTTGCTGTGATGACACGATTTCTCAAGGCCAAGGTACGGATAAATCGATCCTGGGCTTGAGTTGTCGCCCTTGGTCGACCTGAGTGTGGTCTGTCCTGTACAGATTGTGTATCACGGTATCTGGACCATAGCCTGCTTATGACACACTGAGAAACATTCATCGTCCGCGCCACAACCGTCTGTGTTGTGCCGATCTGTAGCATGCCAAGGGCACGTAACCTTTCATTTTGGGTAAGCCGACGCATATCAAAATTTGTTTTCTGGTCACTAAAACAATTAAACTGATGTTTCCACCCAGGAATTCAATGCCACAATGACTGTAACATTCAAAGTCAGAGTCGTGCAAATCTTGGGTTGGACCCCCATGATGATCCCAAGCATCACCTGCATTCCATGCGGTAGCTATTGGTGCGTTTGGGCGTCACATGTAACTGGAAATGTTTCTTCTGTTAGGTTCTATAGTGACTTTTTTCGTAGTCATTTGCATATTTTAGTATTATGCCCCCAAAATCAAATATCCCCTACTTTTTTTGAATAGTATATCTCGTGAACGCTCTAGAGGGTAGCTTTAAAATCCGATTGACTTTAAATTTATACACAGTGTTTGAGGTCATAAGATGAAGAATCCTATTGATTTTCAACATATTTTTAAAACATGACAATAATTATTTCAAGAACATATTTTTAAAACATGGCAATAATTATTTTTTAAGAGTTATGAGAAAAGCTGTAACATGTTTAGAGAATGTGGTGAATACCTGTCAGAGTTTGGGTAATAACAAGGGAGCTGTAGAGGGACCTCTGAATCAAGCAAAGGATACCCTGAAAAAGCATTGTGGGGACAGTGCCGCTGGTACGTTACTTTAAAGTTTTGTTCTTTCTGAAGGCTTTTTCAACACGATCAGTTAACAGGGCGGTAAAATGGGTTTGACAAGAAAAGGGGTTTAACGTCCTACCGTTCTGCTCTGACTGGGCTAATGAAGACGGGCATACGCAATAAAGTGTGCTTTGGGGAAACTTTTGCCCGGACACCAGCACTACGGCCTACTCTTATTCCAACTGTCAAGGGTTATTTTACGTGCAATAACTGACAGCAACATTGCTCTTTACATCTAGATTTAAACTGAGCAGTCGATTCTAAACACTTTATCACATATAGTAAGGCATTCCACAATCGCGGGCCATTTGCACCAAATGTTTTATCACCAAATGATTTAATCTAGTTGATGGTATATTGAGAGAGTCGTGCACGTCGTGATTGTCGATATCATCATATTACAGTAACGTGTTACTATGGTTACCAAGTTTTATTTAAGTACATGTGCTGATTTAGAACAGTGGCGGAATACATTGGAGAGAGAGGGGGGTAGAGAGGGGGAGGGGATAGAGAAGGGGAGGGGGGTTGGGAGGAAGTGCGGGGCTAACTTTTTAGCACTGTAAATTTTTTATTCAAGTTTATTCATTCTTAAGTAGTAAAGGCTGTACTTTGTCGTAAAAAAACAAACGCCATTATCTCACCTTAACAAAACTGGACATAGTTATTTCCCTTTGTGGATGTCGCACTCTTTTGCATGAAGGGGTGGGATGTGTTAACCATGGATACGGCGGAAGTTAGGTGTATTAACTTAGTGTAATGTATGTATCTAATATTTTTATTATTACATTTTATACGCCCGCATTTTTATGTGGACGTATTATGTCGTCGCCCCAGTCCGTCCGTACACAATTTTTTGTGTACATTCTACAGGTCACAATTTTTATCCGATTTTGACGAAACTTGAAATATTTCGATATTGGCATGCATGGGACCATAACTTCATGGATTATGGCCCCTGATTGTACGAAAAATCATGTTTTTAGCTTGTAGAAACTCTGATTTTGATGAAACTTGAAATGCTTGTTTATAACTCAAAGATCTTGGTTCCTTTCGATATTTCCGCATAGCGGACTGTAACTTCCTGGATTATGGCACCTGATTTTACGAAATATCGCTTCTTTTTTTGAGCTTGTTCTCTTTTCATCTCTCGCAAAATGTGGGCGTATCTTGCATGGCAACCGTTTGTTTTTATTTGCTGTGTGGCAGTGTTCTCAACTATTTACTTATTCTTTTCTTTATATCTTCAGGAGTTATCCAGTCTCAGCATTTGCTCGTCTTAGTCCCTGTAGCAATCATCAGCGCCGTCTATAGTCGTTTGTAAAGACCATTGTATTGTTTATTACAAAGGAAAGAGTTGTCGTTCGTTATTTAGCGCGTTAAAAGTTCAATTTTCACGAATCCATGTCAAACGTTAGCGCGATAAATAATGCAAATAATTCATCCTGAATTTTGTACTTTTAATATAAAACAATAAAAAATGATAGGTTGAGTAGCTAGAAAAATACAAAAATTATCATCGTCATTTTCTCATGATAAATAAGGTAGTTGTGATTTGTAGTTAAATTTAGACCCATTAAACATACCAGGTCCTGCCAATATGATCGCCCCATTTTCTTGCTACTCAACTGACATTCACTTTCTCTGTAGAATTTTAATTTGGTTAACGCCGTGTTTAAATGCAGATAAACCCAACTCATGGTGCCAAAGACAAACCTTGTTTCAGAACGTGCACCCGTGGTGATTACACTCCTTTCTGTAATAAAATTGTGCCCTAATGTCATAATTCTGCTTAGAACTCGAACACAACATCTTCAATACCCTTGTTGATTGATTTAATATTGGTGCATTGAATATTACGTTTATTGCACTCAGGATTTTTGAAAGGGGCATTATTGCGACTATCGTGAATCGAAAATTATGTTTATGGCATCCGACATCGTTGAAAAGATAGTATTGGTACTACCGTGAATGGTAATCGGAAATTATGTTTTATGACATCCAATACTGTTGGAAATATATTATTGCTTTTACCGTGAATGGTAATCAGCACTGTTGATTGGTTTATTTGCATTTGAAAATACTTTTTTATTTTTTACCTGCATTTGGTGCCTTCTGGTCTAAATTCCTGACAATATGGAATTCTATACAATGTCATACCACAGGTGTCTATTTTATATGCAATGTCAATCATTATTAACTGTATAGCTTGTGTTCAGGGAAATCAAACGTTTGGGTTTAATCAATTTTAATATGCGCGGGAAGAAGGTTCAATTGTCATTGGATACCATTTCTGTTGATCAGTGACGTCATTTCAATTATTCGTTGGCGTCATTTCGAATAATCGTTGAGGTCATTATATCAAACACTCGGTGACTGTCGTGCAATAGTATGCTATAAAAAAAGCAAGTTCGTGCCAATGAGACAAATAGTCTCATTAGAAGGCGATCATGTGACGAAAATGTTATTATAACGTGATCTTAAGAACAATGCCATTGAATGACCGAACAATGTCTTGCGGTGCTAAACTACCCATGCATCACTGTTTTAAATGTTAAAATTAATCAAATCTTTGGGTTTGGTTTTCCTGTTTTTAGACTTTTTATATAATTGTTATGTACACAAATTAATATAGAACTTATTCTCATCTTCGCAATATCAAAATTAGCTACAATGATTTATTGTCAGACTTCTGATATGACGATGATGATGTGTTTTTTGAAGGTCTTATATGGTTTAAAATATAATTTTCTTTTTTTAATAATACACATAAGTATTTGTGATTATTCTTTGTGCTCACCAACAAGTGTTCGGTTTTTTATTTACTTTAGACTTGCTCAAGTATTATAGTAACGTAGAGCATGTAATGTACTTGTAGTCTCGATCAGTTATTAATAAATATCTGTAGAATGTATGTAAGACTATTTTTTTCTGAGATATCAATCATCCCCCACCCACCCCCACGAACAGAGAGAGAGAGAAAGAGGGGGTTCCCTCGACGCAAACTAGGTCATTTTGGGACAAACAAATGATAACAATATTATTTCTATATTTCGCTTGCTCGCAAGGGTCTTTAGCCGAGGATGGAGTTTAATGTCCACTCTACGCAAACTAGGTCACGTCACTTTGGGACTAACAAATGTTATAAATTTCACTTTCTGGTAGGGGTCTCTAGCCGTGGGAGGAAACCGGAGGACCCACCGAAAGGTCACGTGGCTTTGGCACGGAATAGAATAGACAAACAAGAAAGACATGTTACAGTTACAGGCACAGACCCAAACATTAAGTAAATCATGGCGACATGGGTAACCTACTGTTACAACACAGGCCTAAACAGAATGACTTGGGACACTGTTACAATCTCTTACAACTACAGGCCCAAATATTAGGTAAACCATAAGGACTTGGGTATTGTTATAACCACATACCTAAACATTAGGTACAGTTGGGTACAATTACAACCACAGACTCAAACATTAGGTAAACTAGGAAGACTTGGGTAATGTTACAACCACAGACTCAAACATTAGGTAAACCAAGGCGACTTGAGTAATGTTACAACCACAGGCCCAAACATTAGGTAAACCAAGGCAACTTGGATAATGTTACAACCACAGGCCCAAACATTAGGTAAACTAGGAAGACTTGGGTAATGTTACAACCACAGGCCCAAACATTAGGTAAACTAGGAAGACTTGGGTGATGTTACAACCAGAGGCCAAACATTTGGTAAACCAGGGCGACTTGGATAATGTCACAACCACAGGCCCAAACATTAGGTAAACCAAGGCGACTTGGGTAATGTTACAACCACAGGCCCAAACATTAGGTAAACCAAGGCGACTTGGGTAATTTTACAACCACAGGCCAAAACATTAGGTAAACCAAGGCGACTTGATAATGTTACAACCACAGGCCCAAACATTAGGTAAACAAGGAAGACTTGGGTGATGTTACAACCAGAGGCCAAACACTTGGTAAACCAGGGCGACTTGGATAATGTCACAACCACAGGCCCAAACATTAGGTAAACTAGGAAGACTTGGGTAATGTTACATCCACAGGCCCAAACATTAGTAAACAAAGGCGACTTGGGTAATGTTAAATCCACGGGTCTAAACATTAGGTAAACCAGGGCGGCATAGGTACTGTCACAACCCTAGGCAAACCAGGCCGGTCTGGGTACTGTAACAACCACAACCAATAACATTAGACAAACCAGGACGACCACAGACCAAAACATTAGGTAAACCAGAGAGGCTTAGTATATCTGATAGAACCACAGGCCTAAACATTATGCAAACCAAGACGACCACAGACCAAACCATTAGGTAAACCAGACAGGCTTGGTACTGTTTGAACCACAGGCCTAAACATTAAGTGAATCGGGGAGACTTAGGTAGTGTCAAAACCACAGGCCTAAACATTAAGTAATTAGTATATGTATTGAGAAACAAGCGTTGATTCGAATGATGTATTACCAACCAACCACACGCCTCCCCTCCCAACACGGTCACACTTCGTAATGGGTCAAAATCATGTATATGTATTCTTACATCCAGGTACTATTCTTTTAGATTAAATCTCGTCAATTATGAACATCCTTTAAGAGGAATTGAATTGAATTGAAATGGGGTTTAACGTCCTATTGTTCTGCTCCGACTGAGCTAGGGCTTACGCCATACAGTGTTTAACGTCCTACTGTTCTGCTTAACTAAGATGGGCTTACGCCATACAGTGTGTGTTAAGATAAAACAATTTGCCCGGGCAGCGTCGCTACGTCCTACTCTTATATCGAACATGGGACCTCTAGATTAGCGAGCCAAAGTCTTACTCACTGAGCCACCTTGGCTCCCCGATAAGAGGAACGGGATATTTCGGAGGATTATGGCCCGCGTCTACACCCTTCAATCTATGCAAATGGCACCATTATATCCTCCAAATCCTTTGTCCTTAATGTAAGTATGTAATTTCAGGTGTTGTTGCCGTGGTAACCGGAGACTGTGACACATTAAAATGTGTATCTGGAATTTCGACTCTCAATTTTGAAGACCTCACATCTGCTTGTCCGTAAGTATCCGGATACATTCCTGTTGGAATTTTAATAATAATTTTCAGCGATACAGAATCCCTTGGTAAGCACAATGTTGTTAGAGTTACCCGACATTCTAATTCCTAAATTGTAGATTTTAGCCGAAAACACTAAGTACTAGTATACATATTCAGCTTCCATTTAAGAAATTCTCGAGATCGAGAGAGAGAGAGAGATAGTGAGAGAGAGAGAGAGAGATGTGAATCTTGACTCAATGACAGTCCTAATGATCTAAAGCTGAATATGGTTAAAGACCAAACTCTGCGACCCGTGCATGTCATAACACGTATGGGGAGTTGTGAGCCCGGCTTTAGCGTGAAATTTGATGTTCCGAAAAATGCAAATCACCCATCGATACCTTATATCCCATAACGCCACATTAAAATTAGGCCCTCCAGTCAAATTAATTTACCACCCGGCTGAATCTCTCTGTGTGATTCTCTATTCCGAAACTAGTCGTTCGTTTCGCAGAAAATATTCTAAAATTAGATGTGTGTCAAATTCTAAAATCCCAGAACTTATTGTCTTCTGAATTATATTGTAACATGCTTAAGGTTGAATCTTGCGTGTTGATTGGTCAATTAGACACTGTCGATTGGACAATAACACCCCCCTGTTTTAGTAATTACTTTTAAAATGCTAAAATAGCATGTTACAATGTCGATAAACATTTCCTGTTTCGCATTTAGAGGGGTGTTATGCGAAACAGGAAGTGTTTTCTCTCCTAAATATATAACGTCGTAATTCCAAGATGGCTGCGATGCTTTGTTCCATTCTCGACACAGAAGACAACACTGCATGGGAGAATGGTGTTGTTCCTGGTCCGTAATACGAAGCCACTAAGCCAGTAAAGATTGTGTCATCCTTCATAATACAAATTGGCGTGATGTTGTCAATCTTATAACGATATATATTATTTGATTTCTGAATGACAATCTAATGATACAGCATATATATATTGTATTTTTTATCAGAGCTATGGACTCAGCTATAAAATGTTTAGAGAACGTGCTCAATACCTGTCAGAGTCTGGGGGATAACAGAGCTGCTGTAGAAGCACCTCTTAATCAAGCCAAAGGCAATTTCAACAGGCTATGCGGGTCCGATGGAGGTATGTTAATTAGTTACTGGTCTGCCATGTTTGACCACATGGCCATTGTTGTTTTAAATGAAGACATGTATACGTCATGGGTTACTATTTTCTCGGATAGTGGTGTTTTCTCCGGCTGTTTGTCAAATTCCAACAGGGCACCTCGGTTTTTCGTCCCAATTATTCGGCTTTTCGTCCCAATTAATTCACCAATGCTCAGGAAACCACCTCGGATAACTTTAGAAGCTCTAGGGGCTATATAAAGTTAATATCTGATTCACTGATACGCAGTGTTTAAGGTCACGAAACGAAGGATCCTATTCATTTTCAACAATTTCCGATAATTATGGCCAGAGTTATGGCCCTTAAATGTTCTCATTACTGACAAAAGAAAAAAAATGTGGGACAACCCTTGTTGACAGATCGGATGACTTAGCTGTTGTGGGCGTATGTTTCGTTGCCTGGCAACCTATCTTATATTATATGGTTTGTTCTTTCAGGTAAAGGTACTATGGCAGACTGTGATTTTGCTAGTTGTATGGGTCAAGTGACGTCTGAAAATCCCGAACAAAATTGCCCGTAAGTAACCCAATACACAGAACGTGTATCACGGAGTACCTGTCGTTTAAAATGGATCTTTATATTGTCGTGATTTCTGACCGTCCTTCGTCCGTACTATCTGGCCACAGGTCCCCAAAGAGGAATCCTGTTGACTTTAATGTTAATTCTCGTTTCTTTTACCGGCGCTTTCGTGGGATTGAACATTTTTTATACGCCTACATGGAAATGTGATCGCATATTTCCGTCGCCCCGTCCGTCCGCCGGTTCGTCCGTCGTCCACATTTCTTATCTGATCATTCATATTTATATATGTTGTTTGCATTATTGAGACGAAGAATCCCATTTAATTTTAACATTTTCCGTCAATTTTTTCTAGTGTTATGGTCTTTGTTTTACTTTGTAGAATCTTGTGGACGCTTTAATGACCATAGTTACCTGCATTACATTTACATGCAATTTTTATACGCCCACATTGAAATGTGGACGTATATTGCCGTCGCCCCCGTCCGCCCGTCTGTCGGTCCGTCCGTCCACAATTTCTTGTGAACGCTCTAACGCCAAAAGTTATCATCCAATTGTTTTAAAATTGATGTATGTTGTTTAAAATTAGTGAGATGAAGAAGCCTATTTAATTTCAATTATTTCCGTTTATTGCGTCTAGAGTTATGGCCCTTGTTTCACTTTGTTGAACCTTGTGAATGGTCTAATGCCAAAAGTTAACATACGATCTTTGTGAAATTTATATGCAATATTTAAGTTATTGAAACGAAGAATCCTATTGAATTTCAATAATTTCTGTTTATTATGTCTAGAGTTATGGTCCTTGTTTCACTTTATTGGACCTTGTGAACGCTCTAACTCCAAAAGTTATCATCCGATCTTTCTGATATTTATATGCATTATTTAGATTATTGAAACGAAGAAGCCTATTGAATTTCAGCAATTTCCGTTTATTACGTCTAGAGTTATGGCCCTTGTTTCACTTTATTGGTCCTAACGTCATAAGTTATCATTTGATCTTTCTGAAAATTATATGCATTATTTAAATTAGTGAGACGAAGAAGCCCATTGAATTTCAGCAATTTCCGTTTATTACGTCTAGAGTTATGGCTTTCACTTTATTGATCCTTGTGAACGCTCGAACGCCAAAAGTTACCATCCGATCTTTGTG